TTTCGTCGTTATTCTGTCCTTATGCTAAATTGTTTGTGACCCCTCAGAAAAAGCTGAAGCACAGCCCTGTGTTGTCTTGTCTTCCCCAGCCCTGCAGCTTCTCTTGGGTTTCTGAGGCATAAGCTTTTTACAATTTTTACACCAGACATAAAAAATTGGAAATTCTGTAATTCATTGCTCTGTTTCCTCCTTTGTTCCTGTGAAATTTCTTGAAATCCCATTTCTTCGGGATTTCTTCTTGCCTCAGTGAACGTAATCAGAAACTCCCATTAACTTAAATTCCCAAGTTTTCTGACACTTGAGAGTTGTTCAACACTTGGCAGTTTTGATGGCCTCGGCTCCAGATGAGCTATGATCGATTTTTCCATCAAGTTGCTTTGCATCCTGAGAAGTTCATTGCATGTCCTGGGAATGCGACGTGCAGTGTGATCAATCCTGGATGGGGTGAGAGGGAGAGCCTTGTAGTATCAAACAGCAGTAACACCAAAAGATGAAGGACGGGCTATGCCCATGCCATCTTTTGCTACGATCCCATTAGATTTCACAAACTGAGCAGAAGCAATCTGGCTGAGTCCTTGGAGGGTAAACTCAAGCAAGTAACAAGGGAGCTCAATAGGTCGAACTCTTCCCGCTGATAGTACTAAAGCCACTGCCCCCCTCTGATATTAATACAGGAGCTGCCAACTCTTGGATGAAACACAAAACGTCCTTAATGGTGACTGGAGGTTTTGTGGCTCTTTATAAAAGTGGTGCTTTTGTCTGCTGGTCAAATTCAACTGTGGGTAATTGTATTGTGCCTACCAGAATTCACCTTGCAGTTTGCTGATTATTCGGTTCTTTCTATCTTAGACTGTTGTGTTGTGCTATTGTGCATTGTTCAATACATCCCCTATTCTAGTCTCAACCCTGACACACCTGGGTGAATGTTAGCTGTGTAGAAGTGGTAGTGTAGCTGGAACACACAGTGACAGCTGCAGTTAAGGTTAGCTGTAGCCTTTGATATGGCATTCGTCACTGCAGTGATTGAGCACAAACGTTAATTAATCCATCTTTTCCCCAGCCTTTGAGATGAGGGAAAGCATGACTGCCTGACTCACAGATGGGAACTGAGCCAGAGTGACTTGCCTGAGGTCACAGAGGAAGTCACCGTTAGAGCTGGAGATAGATCTCCGTCTTCCAAGCCCAGTGCCTTAACTTCAAGACTGTCCTATCTCCCTTAGCTTGCCTCAGCATTTCCATTCTGTAGGGCCTGTTCCCATTGCTTCTTAAACTGAACAGTCACCTTTCAGGATGACATTTTGCTGGCTGAGTGTCTGCCCTGAACATTTTCAGAGTTTCAGAAAATGGTGTACTCTAGCTTAGAACGAGATTTCTGGTGGTGATGGTTGCTTTTAGGACGTGTGACTATCAGCAGCACCACAGTGTTTTACAGAATACTTGCGCTAATGGACTGGATGGTCTAGGACCATGGTTTTTCAGAGTAATATTATTTTACCTTTCTACTCAATTGTGGCTATTAAAATTGCATTGGCTGACGGTTCATGGTACTGAACTCTACTGGGCTGCTAGCAGAACTTGTTCAATAGAGGGCCTGTGGCTTTGGAATTCACACCAGTCCGGGACAATGGAGCCAACATTTGACAAACTTCACAGGATGATGCCATTTACTGAACTAGTTTAGTTTTAGGTCACTTATTTCATCTTGCTCCTTCCGGCGGCTGCTGCTACGTTTGGTGGCCGCATCGGTGGTTCTGATCAAAACTATTCATAGTGAGTAATTTCATTTTAATTTGTGCTTTAACAGCTTTTTGTAAATATGCCCTTGCGGGTCTGACTACACTGAACTCAGAGGTGTGACTGCAGCAAATGTAGACATACCCGAGCTAGCGTTAATCTAGCTAGCCCAACCAACCAGAGAAGTGAAGTTGCAGGAGCGTGGGCTAGCCGTTCAATTACATACCCAGTGTCCCGCCCGTGCCGCCATGGCTTCACTGCTACGGTTATTCAAGCTAGCTAGATCAAAGCTACCTTGAGTCTGTCTACACGTGCTGTAGTCACACCTCTGCTTGCAGTGCAGGCCTACTCTAAGTTAGGGTTACCGTACGTCCTCTTTTTCCCGGACATGTCCGGCTTTTCGGCAGTCAAACCCCCGTCCGGGGGAATTGCCAAAAAGCCGAACATGTCCGGGAAAATGGTGGCTCTGCTCCCCCTGACTCTTCGGCTCTGTTTAAGAGCCGGGCTGCCCGAGCGCTACCGGCTTCGGGCAGCCCCGTGCCTCC